TGATCACCATTCAAGAAAGCTGAGTGCCCCTACTCCTTCGGCCTTTTCCTTCCCTACTCTTAACATCATCCAAATAATTTACTTGTTTGTGGACTGCTGGCTTGGAGAATTAAGCTTCAGGACAGAACTTTTTCTTTTTTTCATTCCCTGCTTCTAGACTGGTGCCAGGCCTACACCGAGTTTTCCATAAACATCCCGTGAATTGTTTAATGAGTGGAATGAAATTTGTAGGGACATTTGCCTTTCACTAACATGCTTTTGAAGTGTAAGTGTGCAAATCAGTGTGTGCATGTGTATGGAGGAGGGGTAGGAGCAGAGCAGTGGGTGGAAGAGGGATTATAAAGCCAGCCCTAAATTCCTCCTGCTGGGTGAGGAATTTCTCTCCTTATCTATGGCTGGAAGAGTGAGCTCAGTAAAGTTCTTTCCTGAGAATACTATTTACTCAAAACAGTTACCTTGATTTATAGCCCAGCTTACCAAGAGATACTTGACCCATCAAAATTACAGTTTCAGCATCATAAAACCCTTTCTTGGTAGCCCAAATTTCATTTATTGAATGTTTGTAGAAAAATGCACTCTGTATTCCAATTGACTTATGTTTCCACAAATTGCATTTGTAAGTTGCCAACTGCACTATTGTATTTCTCTTTACCATAGAAAGCTATGACAATTTTTTAGTTTTTTTTTTCTGTTAAATTCATCCAATTCTCCATATCTATAGTGTCTCTAGGGAGTATTATGACCTAGTGGCAAGAAGTTGTCTTGCTATCCTGAAGGCATACGGTTCGAATCCACCAGCTTCTCTGCAGGAGAAGGGTGGGTCATCTCCTCCTGTGCTATTAACTGCCTCTGAAAACCCACCAGAGGGTCTGCTATGGGTCCATTCCAACTTGATGACACACAACAACAACAACAACAACAGCATAGTGTCTCCAGCATTCCAAGTCTTGCCCTGCTCCCGAGGGAATAGACGTTCCTCCTGGAATAGAAATTGAGTGAAAAAAATACACCTTCGCAAAATACTGAAGTTGAGGGGTTGCAATCCAAATGTACTTTTTTAACTTCAGACAGCAGAATGCAGAGTGCCCTCAGGTCTATTCTGACACTTAGTGACGCCAAAGGACAGAATCTTCTGTAAAGACTGCAGTCTTCACAGAAGCAAATTGCCACATTGTTCATCTAAGATGTGGCTGGTGAGTTTGAACTACAGAAATTTTGGTTTAGTAACCAGGCACCGTGCTACCAGGGCTTCTTGTAGGGCAGAACAGTGTGGGGATTTTTAGTTTTCTTTTTGCCTGGATTTCCTAAAAGTAATACCCTTTAGTCCTGCATGGAATTGCCTTTTAACTTGATGCTCAGATGTGCTTTAAGAGGAAATACAATTGGAGGCAAATGCAGATGAGGAGGAAGAGGTTGTCATTCTGATTTTAGAGAGGAGGAGGCTGAAGGGTCTGCAAACCCACCTGAGCAGGTTTTGAGGTTGTGTTTTAGAGCATTTCCCCCTTTCCTGTTCTAAGAAGAGTTCTGGGGAGCAGTTTGCCCCTTGAGGAGCCCCCTACATCAGTCACCCTTCCTGACATGCAGCTGTGAGCCAGCCTGCTTCAGTCCCTCAGCCTCACCTGTTTGTCACTTTCCGAGCTGGAAAAAACCAAGTTCTTGACACCCTCAAGTAACATTCTTTTCTTTTTTACACAAAATCCTCCCTGAAATTTTAAATGAGTTATAGACACGTATATCATTCCCATGCAGTAACAGTTATCCTATTTTTAATCATCATCCACACTTTCTTTCCTGCCTTGAACTTTTACTATTAGAAATGTTCAATATTATGCCTGATTTTCTATTTTTATCAAAATGGAATTTCTCAACTGAGTCATCAAGACCATATGCCAAATCTTGAGTCCATAACTCGATTTTAACTAGGTTCCTAATCAGATATTCCACTGGAATCAAGTTCATCTGTTTATCCTGAAAAATACTTCGTTGCTTCTTCAAGATCTGTAAGCATCATAAAGTACTATTCAAAAGCTCTTGTACTGCTCTAATTTTTAATGCGCTATAATATAAATCAGGAAAGGAGTGTATCAGGGATGCATCTGTCCCCATGCCTTTTCAATCTATATGTAGAACAGATCATTCGGGAAGCAGAGATTTATGAGGAGGAATGTGGCATCAGGATTGAAGAAAGACAACAACCTACTTCATGCAGATGACACAACTTTGCTTGCTGAAACTGAAGAGGACCTGAAACACTTGCTGCAGAAGCTCAAGGACTATAGTCTTCAATATGGATTGAAGCTCAATATCCAGAAAAGATCCTCACCACTGGGCCAATTGGTAGCATCATGATAGATGGAGAAGAGATTGAGGTCGTTATCAATTACAGCTTCCACAATCGACACTATTAGCACCAGCAGTCAGGAAATCAAAAGTCGAATTGCACTGGAAAAATCTGCTGTCAGGGACCTCTGCAGAGTGCTGAAAAGCAACAATGTCAGTCTAGAGACTAAGGTACACCTAATCAAGGCCATAGTCTTCACAATTACTTGTTATGCATCAGAGAGCTGGACAATGACTAAGGATAACAGAGGAAGAATTGATATATTCAAATTGTGGTGCTGGAGAAAAGTCTTGAACATACCATGGACTGACAGGAAAACAAATAGGTCTGTCTTGAAAAGAGTGAAAACCAAGGTTCTCCTTGGAGGCTAGGTTTTTTAAGGTCTATCTTACATACTTTGGGCATGTGGCCTGGAGAGACCAATCCTTGGAGAACGACCTCGTGTTTGGAAGGATGGAGGAACAGCACAGGAGAGGAAGACCTCGGATGAGATGGACTGATACCGTAACTAGGGCTACGGGGGCTGGTGTGTTGAAATTAGTGAGACTGGCTCAGAACAGGGCAGGATTCAGAGCTGCTGTGCATAGGGTCCCTATGGGTCGAGGCAACTCGTTAGCATATAACAACAACAACAACAACAACAACATAATACCTATCTTGATGGATCTTCTCCTCGGTCTTCTACGTTAAGCTTGATTTATGAAGTATGACTCAAACTTTGCTTATTCAAGTTAATATTGATTAACCCAAACACCTGATCAGCTCTCATTATCTAGCTTTTGTGGTTAGGTGCTGTCAAGTATTAGAGGGTAGGAGGTAAGAGCATGGATTCTGTAGGCAGATTTCCTGCGTTCAGATCCCAATCTCAGGCAAAGTCATTCCTTAGTATCTCTTTCCTTTTTCTTTGTATCTTTTGTTGCTTCTTCCTAGGCTGCTTTGTAAATTGAGTTAACTATAAAACTCAGAGAATGCTGCCTGCCATATAATAAGCACTATTTAATGTTAACTTTTATTGTTATATTGTCATTTACTGATAGCAGAATTTCTACTAGATGCATCTTTACCGATGTGCTGCGCTATCTTCTCCATTTGTTTGGTTCTGTTCTCTCCTGGAATATTAAGTGAATATTGATCTTTCTCGTCACTCTTTCGTTCATCCAAACTTAGTCTTGGAACACAGCTACCACTTAATGCATCCTAAAAGTAAGGTATCTTTCATCCTTGAAGCTGGCACTTGAAACTAAGCCAGTGTTTAACACTAGGATTCTGTCAGCCAATTTCAGCCCCTAGAGACCCGGAGGTAGAGGTGTGTGCAGCCACTTTGCCACCTTGTGGCCATGCTTGGGGTTGGCATGCTTCAGTGTTCTGGGAGAAAGCACCCTCTCTTCCTCTCCTGGTCATTTGCAATGCCTACCTCAATGACTCCTTCCTTTCTGGACAATGGCATTTACTTCAGTTCTCCTGTTTCTTTGCAAGTACAAATGGCTATATTATTTTCACTCTTTTTAACATGAGATACTAAGAGATTGGCTGGTGAAACCTTTATTGATCCGTTAGAGCTACCCAGAAACCTCTAATTTTGGCCTCAACTTTCAATTCATTGCCACTGAGTTGGACAGACTCATCGCTAACCCTTCAACAGGTTTTCAGAGGCTGTAAATAGCATGGGAGGGAATGGCCCATCTTTCTCCCATGGAGCTTGTGGGATTTGAACTGCTTGTCGTGTTATTGGAAATGCAACTCCTTAGTCACTAGGTCACCAGAGCTCAATCACTTCTTTGAAATTCTGTGAGAGTCATAGTCACCCTAACAAGTCCTTTTTGTTAAGGATTTCACATTGATTCTTACTAGGTCCCTAATCAGATAGTCTACTAGAGTCAAGTTTGTCTATTTGTCCTGTAAACCCCTCTGTTGCTGTCTCTTCAGGGATCTGTAAGCAACAATAAAGGAAATTTCAAAAACTACTGTACTGTTCTTATGTGTTTTTAATGTGTAATTTTGAATATCCATTTTGATGAATCTTCTCCTCTGTCTTCTACCATTAAGCCTGACTTATAAACTATAATGCAAACTGTGGGTCTATTCTTTAAAGTTTTTCCTTTAGGGAGATTCTCACTCCCACTCCACCTTATAGTGAGACAAGCTATATGAGGGTTCAGTTACTGATGGAGGACAGCATGTTTGGAAAGGTAAAGGGTCGGCAAAAGCTAGGAAGAACCTCAGTGAGATGGATTGACACATGACTGTAACACGGACTCCATTGGATGGGGGGGTGATGAGAATGGCATACGACAGGGGATGGGTTAGTCTACTGTTCACGGGGTCATCGCACCTAACAGCAGCAGTGACAGTGTGTTATCATTTTGATATTCAAAACTGTCAGTTTCATGCATTTCAACCTGACATAGGGATTTGCTTCACCAGCTTTGAAAATAAACTTCCAGGGAAGCAGTAAAGCAGTACTGCTTTGCCAGAAGACAAAGCGATTTTATTCCCCTGAGTTGAATGTTATTCCTGTCTCTTAAACATCAAAACCTATTTGTTTACAGCAAATCCAAACTGATTTTATAGGAGCAGATGTCATGTCTGTGAGGAAGCTTGGCAGCTCTGGGGCTGGAATCACTTAGTCCTTTTAACACGAGTTTGTTTTATTTTTCAGTCTTCACATACAATGGTGCCAGCAAGGAAACCTGCGAACAAAACCACAGACAGTGCTCCCAGCACGCCTTCTGCAGGGACTACAACACTGGCTTCTGCTGCCATTGCCAGTCCAGGTTTTACGGAAACGGGAAGCACTGTCTGCCAGAAGGTGACTGGGGCTGGCGTGGCGGGGGTCCGGGGATGTTCCGTGCACATTCCTGGAGCTGCTACTGACCCTGCACCGTGCTGCTTGGATTAGAGAGCTAGCAAGTTGTACGTGCACAATAAAAATGTGTGTGGAATGAAAATATTTGGGTTGATTCTCCAATTTGGTAGTGATCCCGAAATTTTTCTCTCATTTCCAAGCTCATCAGAGCCAAATTTGAGGGAAGAGAGGGAAAACAGAAGAAAAGAGACCACAGGCCTCTGTTCCGTAGAGGAATAATGGATTGGTTTGGGAATTGGTTAAAACGGCTTGTGAAAGTAGATGCCTGGAAGGAAGTTAGTGGTGGGATGACCGAGGATGACTGTTCACTCTTGTTTAGGGGCACCTGTTCGAGTCAACGGGAAAGTGAGTGGCCACCTCGTCGTAGGCCAAACCCCGGTGCACTTCGCCAACGTGGACCTGCACGCTTACATCGTGGGAAATGATGGCAGAGCCTACACGGCGGTCAGCCACATCCCGCAGCCTGCGGCACAGGCCCTGCTCCCCGTCATGCCCATCGGAGGCCTGTTTGGCTGGCTCTTTGCTTTAGAAAAACCAGGCTCTGAGAATGGCTTCAGCATCACTGGTAAGTAGGGATTCTAAGAGGGCTGATACTCATCAGTGTAGCTCCTTGGATCTGGGCTTGATGATGAAGGAGGCTTCCTGTGTAACCTTCTAGAGCCACAGCACAGCCATAGTGTCCTGTCTGGAAAAGGGACAGATGATTTGCCCTTGCAGTTGACAGTGAGTGATTTCTTCTGAATGTTGTCCAAACTGCTTTGAGAAATAGGATGGTTCCTTTTGGAATGTTTGTTGCCTCTCAACCCTATGAGTGGAAACTAACTAATTTATCTAGTTTTGCTTGACTCATTCAAGTATCTATAAAAGAGAGGTGTAAAATGGTAATTTTAGTGTACTTTGAGGATCCTTGGTGGCATAGTGGTCAAATACTTGGACGTTAACTAAAAGATGAATGTTTAAAACTTGGAAATTTCTCTATGAGAGAAAAATGTATCAATCTACTTCTGTAAAAATTCCATACTTGAAAAACTTACTGGGCAGTTCTACTCTGTCCTATAGGATTACAGTGAGTCTGAGCCAGAATTTACATGATGACAGTTGGTTAATGGGAGATGGCTTGATGGGAAAGAGGGTGACTTGTCTCTTTCTTCAACCCCATGCCCTCCTGTTGTTGTTACGTGCCATCGAGTCACTTGCTACTTGTCATGACTCTATGTATGACAGCCCTAAACCCTCTTTTCTATGCCAACCTTATTGTCTCTGATACACCAATCCCAATTACCCCCATCACTGGATCAATCCATCTCATTGAAGGTCATCCTCTCTTGTGCTGTCCCTCCACTCTCTCAAGCATGATGTCCCTCTCCAAGGACTGGTCCCTCCTTGCAATATGCCCAGAGTATGCCAGACAAAGCCTCAGAATCCTTACCTCCAAGGAGCAGCCTGGTCTCACCCTTTCTAGGATGAACCTGTTTCTTCTCCTAGCAGTCCATAATATATTCAATACTCTTCTCCAGCACCACAACTCAAAGGCATCAATTCTCCTTCCATCATCCCTAGTCATTGTCCAGCTCTCTGATGCATAACAAGTAATGGCAAAGACCATGGCCTGTATCAAGCCCACACAGCGTAGGTCCCTCCTGTTACTGACTTATAATATAGAGAACAATGCCTCTCAGATTTTCAAGTGCATGCAAATTGCCCAGAAGTTTTGTTGAATTGCAAATTCTCATTTAGTAAACCTGAGATGAGATTTGCGAGTCTTCGCTTTCTACAAGATCCCAAGAGATGCTGATGCTGCTGGTCCAAGGACCACCCTCTGATAGAAATGTATATATGATACTTCGTGGTTTTTTTCAGCTCCTCATTTGACTGAACAAATATGTTTCCTGGTGGATTTATTTGTATTTCAGAGGAAATAAAGTGCTGTGGGAAGAGCTTTCCCTTCTAGCTGCAGTATTCAATAGACAATCATAAAATCTTGGCTTTCGTCCACTCAACTCAGTTCATTACCACGGAGTCAGAACTCTGAGGGTCACAGATGGCCCTTCAGGGTGTTTTCCAATGTGGAACTCCCTGTGAACTATACCACCAGAGCTCCGCTGGCTTTATTGTGATTTAAATTCAGCTTTGAAAGTAGATTGGTAAAATATAGTTTACTTAGTTAAATTTACATTCCACATAACCATAAAAAAATTTTGAATAAGTATTCCCTAAATAATGCACAGACTTTATTTATTCTAAAAAAATGGTTTATTTGTTGTTTATGTAAAGTTAAAATTTAACTGGTGTCATGAGTTTTTTTTAAAGCTAAATAAAGCAGCTTTGTTTCCCATAGAAAACAAATTACAACAAAGAGGAGTGACATGAGGCAGGATGAGAGCACATTCCTTAGTAACATTTTTTGAAGATGAATGAATTAGCGGCTGAGAGCACATGGCATGGGCCATCACATACTCTCTTGGGCACGATGTCTAACAACAGTAGAAGTGAGGAGAAGAAAAGGTGTGCTGATATTTGTTTACACAAAGAGTCTTTTCATAATTTTGTTATGACTTTCTTTCTTTTCTCAGGTGCTACATTTACCCATGACATGGATATTACCTTCCAACCTGGAAATGAAAAGCTTCATATTACTCAGACTGGTGAGGGGCTTGACCCCGAAAACTATCTGAGCATTAAGACTGACATTCAAGGCCAGGTGCCTTATATCCCAGCAAATTTTACGGCCCACATTGCCCCCTACAGGGAGTTTTACCACTATTCTGACTCAGGTATGTGCAACCAGCTGTTCCATCTGTAAAATGGAGATCGCACACTTTCAGAAGTTTATTATCAAAATTAAATGAACTAATATTTGGAATGTCTGTAGAATAGTAATGGCACATAATGTGAGCTTTTATTATTTTTATTCACACATTGTTGGTGTTAGGTGCTGTCAGATACAACTCCTAGCAACCCTATGAACAACAGACCTGAACTCTGTCGTGTCCTGTGGCGTCCTCATCATCTCTGACACACTAGAGCCCATTGCTGCAGTCACTGTGTAAATCCATCTTATCGGGGGTCTTCCTTTCTTTCACTGATCCTTCATTTTTCAAAGCATGATGTTTCTTTCCAAGAAATAACCTCACCTACCCCTACTTCCAAGGAGCGCTCTGCCTGGCCTTTTTCCAAGACTATTATCAAATACAGTATGATTGAGCAAGGCCCTGCCTCACCCACAGTTGCTATTTTACACAGTGGATTTATTTGGGTTATCCTGTTCTGCTTCTCCTTTCATGTGAGGGCTGGAAGCCAGGCAGAATTGTTGTTGTTAGGTGCCATCAAGTCAAGTATGACTTATAACAACTCTGAACGACAGATCTCAACCCAGTCCTATCCTCTACCATCCTCATAATTTCCGACATACTCAAGCCCATTTCAGCAGCCACTGGTTTAATCTGTCTGGCTGAGGATCTTCTTCTCTTCTACTATCCTTCTACCTTTCTAAGCATGATGTTCCACTCCAAGGAATAGCTTCTTCTAACCACATACATGCTCAAAGTGTAAGAGATGAAGCTTTGTCATCTTTGCCTCCAAGAAGCATTCTGGCTGTACTTTCTCCAAGACATTTCTGTTTGTTCTTTTGGCAGTCCCTGGGCTAGTCAGTACTCTTCTCCAAAACCAAGGAAAGGAAAGGGTCCTTTCTCTCTTTCTGAGACTGTGAATCCAGAGCCCAGCCCAGTTGCCTGACTGCCAGCGGCTGTGTGACAACTCTAGGACTCACCTCTTGTAGCTGACAGCCATATAAATTGCTGGGCTCTGAGTCAGATTGAGAGAAAAGGCTCTTTCCTTTTCCTGGAACACTTCAGACTTACCTGTGTGAGGGAGCTCTGGTGATTTAGTGGTAAAGAATGATGCTGCCAATGGAACAGTACGCAGTTCAAATCCACCAGCTGCTGTGCAGGATACAGACAGACTTACCCGTGTGAAAGACAGTGGAAGCTATCACTGTGTGATGTAGGGGATGGACTGGTGAGAATCTTGGAGCATAGTGTCAGGCCAGCTTGAGTTCCAGTTCCACCCCTACCATCCTCACAAATGGAGCTTAGATGCTTGACCTCTGCCCACAGTGCCTACTTGATATGACTTTCATGGAGATTAAACAAGGTGATATATGCAGAGCACTCGGTGTGGAAGACGTATAGTAGTACAGTTATTCTTTGCTTATGATGATGACAATGGTTATTCTATCTCCTTTCTTTCAAAATGTGGTTTGCATCCACTCAGGTTCTGGAGATTGCCTTCCTAGTACTCTTTATAAAGTCAGGGAGTTCCCAAGAGGAATGAAATGAAAATTGAATCGAGAAATAGAATATTCTTATTTCTCACACTTACAAACCAGCATAATAAGCTGCTGTGTATCTGGAATTACTAAAGGTCAAGATAAGCAGTGAAGAGTAGCTTAAATATATAATTGCAACTATTAGCATTAAATTCTAAGAATGAACTTATATAAATTAAATATGTTTGCCATGCACCTGAGTCCACAAACTATCTCAGTAGAAGGATATAAAGGTACATGTAATTTGTGTGAGTCAGTTAACTATGATCTCTTTATGTGTTTTTAATACATCTATCTTTTCACTACTTACCAGTTTACCTGTATAATGTATCTATTGCAGTTGTGACTTCTACAAGTTCCAGAAGCTACTCCCTCATATTTGGTGCTATTAACCAAACACAGTCCTACAACATCCACCAGAATATCACGTACCAGACCTGCAGGCATGCCCCCCGACAACACATCATCCCCAACACCCAGCAGCTGAGTGTGGACCGAGTCTTTGCCTTGTACAGTGATGAAGAAGGAGTGCTGAGATTTGCTGTGACCAATCAAATTGGTCTTGCCGAAGGTAAGGTTTCCCTTTTCTTGTTTTTGGGCGTGAATTCCATGGAACCTGTTTTCTTCCTTCCTTTTGAAGTAGACTCAGAGTGATTCTGTGTTACTAAGAGTTACTGAGTGCCAAACTGTTTGGTGCTAGAGGGCAAAGATAAATAAAACAAGGTCTTCTCTGTCCTTGAGATGGAAACAGAAGCAGAAAGATAACCTTTCAGAACAGTGTCTCCTGTCAAGACCAGGAAATAACACATAGTAGGTGAGGCTGGTTTAGAGCAACACTCAGTTATGTAAATTAATCTATGTTTGTATGTATCTGTGAATTAGACAAGTTGCAGCTCTAGTGGAGCCAAGTTTTGACAGGGATGGTATTGATGAATATTTGTTACTGTGATAAAGTAATGAAGAACGAATGTTGTTGTTGTTGTTGTTATGTGCCACCGAGTCACCTGTGACTCATAGTGACCCTGACTACAAGTGCCCTAAGCCCTGCTCTATCCTGTGCCAATCTCATTGTCTCTGACACACCCATCCCAATTACCCCAGTCACTGAATCAATACACCTCATAGCTAATTTAATATATAATAGTGAAAGACTGAAAGCTTTCTCTCCAAAGTGAGGAACAAGGCAAGGATGCCTCTGGACACTTCTATTCAACAACCTTTCACTAGACATTCTAACAGGGTGATTTGGTGGTAGAGGAGGTGGGGGGCATCCAGATTGAATAGGAAAATGGGGGGCATCCAGATTGAATAGGAAAAGTAAAACTGTCCCTATTCTGAGATAACATGATTGTGTGGATAGAAAAAGACTATGAAGTCCACTAGAAAACTATTAAAATAGTACATTAATTCAGTGAGGTTATAGGACACAAACTCAATCTTACATAAATTAATTCTGTTCCTATACAGTAGGAATAAGCAAAAGAAAATAAAATTTAAAAATAATTTCATTGCAAAAAAATCAAATGGAAAAAGTTTATCAAAAGGAGTATAATAATTATACACACTACAACCTACAAACAATATAAACAAAGGAGACAATGTAGTTGGAAAGATGTTCTATAATCATTAAATAGAAGTCTTAATATTCTTAAGATGCTGGTATTCCCTAATACTTATCAGAATTCCAGCTGGTATCTTTGCAGAAATTGACAAACTGATCATAAAAATCATAGGAAAACTCAAAGCTCCCAGAAGAGCCAAATTGTCTTGAAAAAGAATAAAATAGGAAAACTTACCCTTTCAGGTTTTAAAACTTTAGGGAATCAAGACAGTATAATACTGGCATAAAAACAGACATACAAATCAATGTCATGTAATTGAGAATCCAGAAATAAATGCTCTTATTTGCAGTCAACTAATTTTTCAGCAAGGATGTAAAAACAATTCAATGGGACAAAGAATAAAGTCTTATAAGCAAATGATTCTGGGACAATTGGGCATCTACACGTTAAAGAATTAAGTTAGACTACTGCATATACTACGTATAAAAATTAACAACAACAACTATAAAATTCTGAGGAGCCAACACTACTATATTTTTATGACCTTGAATTTGACAAAGAACTGGAGAAATTAGTATGCTCATGTATTTCTAAGTGGTATAAAAAAATGGTATAAGCTCTGGTGCCTACTGGTAAGGCGCTGCACTCTCATACAAAGGCTCACAATTTGAATCCACCATGCGATTTAATGGGAGAAAAATGGACAATCACCTTCCAGGCTATTTACTGCTTATGAAAATCTACTTGAGCGTCAGCTATGAGTCATTTCAGACTCAATGGTATACAACAAAAACATTTAGCATAAAAATACCATTTGAACCAGCAATTACACTACTGGTAAATATGCAAGAAAAAGAAAACATATGTTCACACTTGTAAATTAGCATTCATAATGGTATTAGCTAGAAAGGCGGAAACAACCCAAATGTCCATAACTAATGAATAGATTTAAAAAAAGGTGGTATATGTAATGGAATATTATTCCGCCATGAAAATGGATGAAGTACTGATACGTACTGCAGCATTATGTAGGCATTATGCTAAGTGAACAAAGTCAGTTACAAAAAATTGCATTTCATGGTTCCATTTATATGAAATGTCCAGAAGAGGTGATAACATTTTATATACTACATAGAAGTATATGAGCATTCCTGTTTCTCCAGAAAACTAGAGGGTTAATGAAAGATAGAAAGAACCTTAATTAGATGCGTCAACACAGGGGCTTTAAAACTGGGCTTGAATACATTGGGGTAGTGAGGATGCCTAAGAATAGGGCAGGGCTCTGACCCATAGGGTTGCTATGAATCTTGATTAACGCAATGACACCTAACAACAACAATATAATGATAGAAAGTACATAGAGGTTGCCTAGGGAGTTCTTGTGGCCTAGTGGCAAGAAGCTGCCCTACAATCCTGAAGTCCAGTGGTTTGAATCCACCAGCTTCTCTGTAGGAGAAAGATGGGCTATCTCCTCTTGAGGACTTAACTTCCTCTGAAAACCCACTGGAGGGTCAGCTACGGATCAGTTCTGACTTGATAATGTACAACAACAACAACGAAAACAACAGAGGAAGACAAGACTGGGGAGAGGAGGTAGAATCTACAGAGTATGGGCTTTCTTTTTGAAGGTGATAAAAATGTTCTGAAATTGATTGTGGTGATAGTTGCATGAATTTGTGAGCATACTAAAGATTATATATGTTAAATGGGTGAATTTTATGTATGAGAACTGTATCTAAATTTCTTTTTAAATTCTAAAGATAAGAGGGGGGAAAAGCACAAAAACGTCAGAGTATTATTGCAAAGCTTGATGAACATGCAGGTAAGAAATGCTGTAGGAAAGCCAGATGATGAGAGGTGGAGACAGCATGACAGATAGGAGTCAGAGCAAGGGGACATTTTTATTCTAGAAGTCAGGCCAGTGAGTAGTGTTTTCCCCCAGAATATGATACGTATATGAGGAAAAACAGAATGCTCTTCTCATTCACATTCCAAACTGGTACTAGTCAGTTCTGATCAGTACCCTAGAGTGGTGACTCTTTCTGATGAAAAATTCTGGGTTTTATTCCTGGCATAGAGACACCTTTAGGCCTTCCCAGATTCAATGGAGTTCAATATGAAAGTGTTCCTTAAGATAGCAAGACTTTAAGGGACGAAAACTAAGGAGGCAGAGGTGTCTTAAAATGAGACTCCTGAGTCTGTCTGTCAGTTAGATTTTAGGAAACGCAATTGGATGGAGGATGCAAATATTACAAGTCAGAAGAAGAGATTATAAAACTGTGAATTTATAACATGAAAATGTCAGTTGATTTTAGAGGAACATGTAAATTTGAAAGAGAAAGATTATAATTACAGATTTCTCAAAGAGAGGTTTGAGCAAAAACAGCTGGGGGAACGCCCTTGACCTATAAATGTCCTATTCAGTCCTTTGTGGAGTGTCAGCTACTGAGCTATAAAAACAGCCATTCAGGAGACTCTCAAGCCATAGACTCCCATTCAGAGTCTGAAATCATTTAGGGTAACGTATCTCTGGGTGTGTTTTTCTCAGATATACACTAAACATAGCACAGAAAAAGCCAGCAAGCTGGAAAGTACCAAGAGCTGTTCTAAGCACCTTATATGAATCAATTCATTTAATCTTCAAAACAACCTCTGCTCCAATAAACCCAAACCAAACTCATCACTATCCTATCAGTCCAACTTCTAGCCACCCTAAAGGGCAAAATAGAATTGTCCCAGAGGGTTTCAATGCTGAGTGTCTTTGTGGAAGCGGATTGCATATCTTTGTTTCTGTGAAGTAGTTGTTGAGTTTGAAACACTGTCCATTTTTAGCAGCCAGGCACTTAAACCACTATATCACCAGAGCTCCCTTTCTACCCTATTATCTTCTTATAGATGATGACCCTAAGGTATAGAGGTGAAGAAATTTACCTGTTCACAGCCAGTAACCAGGAGCTGGAATAATTCTGACTGACCCATGGCTGCTTCCTAATTTAGATCAACATTTACAGAGGGAGGAGTGGGTATTTTTCATTCACATGCATTTGAGCTCTATTTTATCCACCCAACGTTAAAACAGCAGTACTGTTTATTCCACCTCAATAGGAGTAAAGTAGAAGGGAGAAAGGAAGCAACTGCAGCATTGTCTCAGTGTGTAGCAGCAGCTTCTTCTCAGGCCTTTTCCAAAGGGAGTTATTATCTAGCTGGAATGAGTGCAAAACAACACAGCTGCCTGTACCTGGTGTGGGAGTATTTTGCTTTCCCAGCATTTAGAATGCACTGTTGTGTCTTTTCCAGGGAACAGACAGAGCTGAAGCCCATGCTTGCTTCCCAATACTCCCTGCCTTCCCCTATGTACCAATTTGTTTGAATTTCATGTGTGGGTTGGCTGTCTCTCGTGGGGTCATAGGACAGGATCCAGCAATGCTTCCTGTCCTTGCTCCCACCTCAGGGGTCTTTGGCTGAACTAAGGAGACTTTGGACAGATGGACATGCAGTGAAGCTGAGTGGCCACAGCCAAGGACTGTTCCTTTAAGGCAAAGCCACTTTCCCCCTCTTGATTAAATGAGTAAATTAGTTCCAGATCCTTCGTCAGAGACAAGCAGTGTAAAAGGATAAAGGGAAAGAAGAAAATGTCTTAAGAAGAATAGATATGTCTATCCTTTCCTTTGGATCATAAGAGAAAAAACGAGCAAACCATGGAGAATGAATAGCCAAGTGGTTTTAGAAATGTGTGGGGAGTGGGGGAAGAATGTTTTTGGAATGTAACTTCAGCAAACAGGCCTGGCTTCATGGACTTGGAACTTCTGTTGTACCAGGCCCTGGACTCAGACAGCCCTCATTGCTTGGCTTAATAATCTGTGGTGCCATCTTGAAATTCTTAGTAATTTTTAAATGAAGGATCCTACATTTTCATTATACTGAGCTCTGTAAATTATGTAGCTTGTCCTGACAGTGAAATGTATTTTAAAACAGCACTTGTATTTATGGCCATTTTCTCTGATAATTTAGGAAAGTGAGCATATCTTGTCCAGTGGGCTGCTTTTTGCTCCCACTCTTCCCTTTAATGCTCTACAGGCTAATAAACTCCTGGCATCTGTATTTTCTCACTAAATTTCTTGCTGGGATGTGCTATGGTGACATTTTGATTCTGGAATGTATTGAATTAAGAAAGCTAAGCATTGTCTGTCTGTCTGTCTTGTTTCTCTCTCTCTCTTTTCTTGCCCTTGAGTTGGTTCTGACATGTAACTAACCTAATAGGTTTCCAGGGCTATAAATCACAGAGAAGGAGATTGCCCATCTTTGAGCTGTGGAACGGCTGGTGAATTCAAACTGCCAGAGTTGCACAGCTGTTGGATTAATGGCACAGCTTTCCATGGAGTATGAACCAGAACTCCCAAGCATTAGTGCTTATGAGTGAAAACATGTTGAATATTAGTTTCCTTTTTTTGCTGGGTAGGCTGGTCATATTGTCTTCTAAGATAAGTAATAATAGAAGGAGAGAATCAAATTCTTCTTTGATATTGAGCCTGCACTGAGGATATGACTTATATTGTTCTAAGCTGTAGCATATGCTGGGCACTGACTCAGAAATATTGGCCTATGCAGTCAAGTAATCTAGCAGCCACAGCCCTAGTGCTGTGTTTCCTTCCTGTCTGCCAGGAGGTTTAGAGACAAGGAGATAAAAGACATAATGGGACGTCTTCTCTATTTGGGTAGCTAAGTTTGTCCCAACATACGTAAATTCATTAAGTTTAAATAATGTCACAGGTCTGTTTGTCCTTTGATTTGGCCTAGATCCAATATTCCAATCAACTTCATTCATGGGACCAACAATAAACCCATGACCCTCCTTACTTTTAGGCAATAATAAGGGTATTATTTGGGCCAATTATATGTGACTTTTCTACTCCATGAATACATGGATGTGTTTTTTAAAACAAGTGGATGGTTAGAGTTTACCGGAAAGCAAGGGTGCACCGAATCAAGGTGTCTTTGGAAGCTCATAAGAAAAAATTGAAAGGGCCATATCATGGGCCATTGGACATACACTGGGGAAATAACTAGATGTAGAGGACTGGAAGTGATCCAGCCTATGAGGTAGGGTCTATGAAGCAACAAGTACTTGAGGTCTAGGCTACTGTTGATTGCTGTCACGTTGAGCATAGTTACACTATGAAAGAAGACCTGAACCTTTTCTATAGTGATTGTCATTTCTCAAAGTTCATAGAGTTTCAGAGGCATGCTGTTTAGGAAGTGAATACCACTCCTGCTTCCAAGATCTTGGTTAGGGATTCATATTTGGTAAGTTCCATCGTCAGGGGCTGAGAGATGGGGAAACATGGCTAAGGTGGAATAGAATGGTGGGTCCAGGAGGAAGTGGTGCTGAGAGCTTGAAGCCATATATTAGAGATTTTAATTCCCTGGACACATAGTGAGAATTCAGTTGTCCTAGAGTAGGTGAAAGGAAGCCATTATGGAACTATTTAGCTTACCTTTGTTGTTAGGGGCCTTCAAGTCACCTATAACTCTCAGGGACCCTGTGAACAGATCTGAGCCTCGCCCTAACTTGCACCATCCTCAGCATCTGTGATGTGCTCAAGTGTATTGTTGCAGTCACTGCATCAGTCCATCTTGTCGGAGGTCTTCCCCTCTTTCTCTGACCCTCTCTCCCACTCCCATCATGAGTAATAATTTTGCAAGGTCACCACAAATTTTCAAGTGTCACATAACTCAGACAAGTGTACAGTCAGGTTCAAGGACTCTTCTCTCTTTCCTGTGCTTGGCTGTCTTCTCCTTACAACACTCAGATTGTGCTTTTGTTTCTCTTTCCTCTCTATGTGTACAGGGGACTCAGACCCAACTCCGGTGAATCCTTGCTATGATGGCAGCCACACATGTGATACCACAGCAAAGTGTCATCCAGGACCAAATGTAGCCTACACCTGTGAGTGTGCACCTGGGTACCAGGGAGATGGACGGACTTGTGTGGGTAAGAGCCATCCTCTGTTCTCACTTGTTGTCTTGGTTTTCACTTGACTCTCTTCATTACTGCAGATCACAAATATTTGCCTACTTTATTATCGTCACTGAGCTGTGAGTTCCGTCAATAATCTGAAAGCAGTTGTTGAAGGGCTACATCATACTCTGGTTAAGTTTGCCACGGGTATTTGTGGCTGGGACTTGAGGAATGAACGTGCCTATTACGATTCCAGAATATTTTCAGTTCTTGAATTTTGTCATTTTGAGCCCGTGTTAAGTAGTCCTTAGGTAAGTTTTGGAGGCACCTGTACATTTCAGACATTGGTTCTCTCACTTTTACTTCTCCTTCTTCTTGTTGTTAAGTGCCGTCGAGTCGCAGGAAACTCATAGCGACCCTAAGAAGGAGAGTCCTCAACGCTTGGGTGCCTTTCATCTTCTCTCCAGGTTCATAGGGTTTCCAGAGGCAAGCTATTATGGAAGTGGATGCCACTCCTCCTGCCAAGCTTGTTTTAATCGGGGAGCTTCACCCCACTCTGTCCACATTGAGTAACCATTACTTCTTATATCTAAATTGTGGTAATAAAATTTTAAACTTATTTTATGAGAAAAACTGTTGAAATTTTTTTCTTCTTACGGCTTACTTTTAAAATGTTTAAAGACTTTTCCAAAAATATCTCCCTCCCTAGGTCTTATATTTGGATTACTTGAAATACAGTTTTATTATCATCTCTGATGACCTTGAAATATGCATCCCTCTGGTACTTAGACCTGCATTTCCGTTCCTGTTCAGTTCCCGCAGCCAGCAGTCTCCTTGGACCCCATGGTGTAGAACACATTAGAGTTTCAGACGCTTCACTCTGGGCAGCTTTGATTTAAACAGCACCTCTCTGATCTTCGTTCTTCGTAGATGTAAATGAATGTGCAACTGGCTTCCATCGCTGTGGCCCCAACTCTGTGTGTGTCAACCTGGAGGGAAGCTACAAGTGTGAGTGCCGGAGTGGTTACATGTTTGCTGAGGACCAGCATACTTGCATCTGTAAGCACCAGCACCATTTCTTATTTTGGCCAAAAGAGTGTTGAGCCTTGCCCTTTAGTTCATTAATATTTCCACTGTACGGAATGCACATTTTCCTTGAAAACACTCCATTGATATAGAAATAATCCAAAGATCTGGCTCAGTTCAGCCCTTCCAGTCTTGAGTTACGGGAGGATGCTTATCACTTGGGGTTCCTAGAGTTCAAAGAATACTTTAGACGCATATTCAAAAGAAGTCGAATTCCCAATTCATCCTATTGATGGAACTCACAATATAGAGAAATAGATTTTTAAATGTAGTGGAATGAAAAAGTAACTGATAGTACAAACACCCTCTGGGGGGGGGGGTGTGTGTATATATGTGTCTATTCCTGCTCTGGGAAATCAAAATCTTTCATTAAAGACTGTTTTGATGACTGATCTTGTAAACGTTCTGTTTTAACCACAAACCCATACTAACCTTTCTCAAACGTTAATATGCATGTAAACTATTTAGAAATCTTTTAAAAAGTCAGATTCATTAAGTCCTGGCGCTATGGGCTTGTGGACTACCCTGTGAGGATCCAGTCTCACCCGTTCGAAGGCTTTCACACTTGGTAATCTTGCCTTCTTCTCTTTTCAGTGATTGTGCCACCTCCTAACCCCTGTGAAGATGGCACTCACACCTGCGCTCCGGACGGGCTGGCCCGCTGCATTCACCAAGGAGGCAGCGCGTACACCTGCGCCTGTCTGCCAGGTTATGCTGGCACTGGACACCAGTGTTCAGGTGAGTATGGGCAGGTCAGCTTCAGTGCCATGCAGGACTTCTATAACAGCTGTGGAGTTCTCAGAAAAGCAACAGATAAAAGGTTGCCCCTTGGATCAGAACAGGAGTTGAGGAGCGTGATTGGCAGAGGGCCCGGACGATTTCCTAGGAGTCGGTTGATTAGCAGTTCTCCTGGTGGAGGCACTTCTTCGGGGCTGGTGTGGCACTGCCTGCTTATAGCCTTCTGTGCATTAAAGCGAACATGAGCTAGAGAAATTAATGAAAAGTAGCATATCCTCTTGGCTCTGGTGGTGTGTAGTCTTTACAGAGTCACACCAATAACCCAAAGTCTTCCCCTCTTTGATGGTTCAAATCCATCGGTAGTTCCAGGGGAGAAAGGTGGGAAGTCTCTCCCTGTGTGATTTACAATCTCTGAAAAACAAATGGAGAGTCAGCTATGAGTTAATTCAGATATGATGACAATGAGTGAGTGAATGAGCATTTTTTTCTTTCATCTTTAAAAGGTTGTGTTTCCATCTTTAGATCTGTCTGGTTAATCAATGGTTTAAGTTAGTATTTCCATTCATACTCACTTTTCAGTGAGAGCTATTTTCCTCGTTGAAGTGGTTTTAACCCGTCTCTACATTCTTTCACACTCATTCACTCATTACTGTTAAGTCAGACCTTCTATTGGGTTTCTGAGTCTGTAATCACATGGGAGGAGATTGCCCATCATTCTCCTGAGAAACCATTGTTGGATTTGAAACACCAGAGAATTACCACCTTTGGGGTAGCAGTGCCACTCCCTGCAAAACCAGAGCTCCCTAATCTCTAAATATGTATCCGTTTCCCTCTCTTTCTTCTCTTTAAAATGTGAAAGAAAAGGAGGAACTACACGTTATAAAAGAATGTTCATACATGCTTAATTACTCAAAGCTTTTCTCCAAGAAATGTACCTACACTTAAGACTTTATGTCGTATTTTATCAAAACTAAAACTGCTAACCAAGAATGCAGGGCTGTTTCAAAAATAGAATTTTGTCAGCAAAATCAGGCTATGTAAAGTTGTTACTTAAGAACTACATATAACTCTGTGGATCTCTATGTTCAAGAAACTGCAGTGAGTACTGTAACTTGGGGATTAAACAGTGAATCTACATAGAACAGGTATTCTAAACATATGTGATGACATATGACTGGACTGAAATTCAATTTCAAGCTGTTGCTCAGCAACAACCATTAACTTATAATCAAATGAGACAGCAAGGAAGAGATGATGGAGAGAAAAGGGGTTAAGAGTAGAAAAGCGTCTGTTTGGGGGATTTAAAAGGCAGACTCTGCTGCTCGCATCTGCCACCATGCATCTGGGCCCACTAAGCTGATTTGCTAACAACAGTTGTAACTCTGGGGAGCTACATAGAGATCTAAACAGCACGGGTCCCCTCCCTTCTCACCAGATGTTTTGGTTCCTTCCCTTCCCCCTACTCTTCTTTCTTTGGTTTCAGCAGGACAGGCATCCTGGACAAGCAGGGGGAAGCCACATGTTAGTGATGGAATAAATGTGAAAGGCAGGGCAGCTCTCCACTCTTTCCGCACATGTCAGGAGTTTTGGCATTGTCTGACACTTCCTTTTTCATGAATTCATTTCCCTATTTTTGTTGTACAGAAACTCTTCCATATCAATTTTTGACAATATGAAATTTACACTGAAATAACCCAAAGCTCTGACTCAGCCCTGTTTTTATTTGCTGTTGTTTGCTTTTGAGTCAGAGCCACCCACAGCTGACCCTCCAGTGGGTTTCCAGGGGCAGTAAATCACATGGGAGGAGATTGTTCATCCTCTTGTTGTTGGTTTCCCCTAAACAGATTTTCTCGGTGCTGAGTTCTTAAAGGAAGTTCACTCTCAGTTGGGATTCCTGTTTGTCCTGATATTTGACTGAATCATGTTAACAAGACTATGACAGGATCTAATAAATTCTGTCAGCCCTAGGTAGGGAGTTGTTAACCCAAAGGCCTTCTCTGATGATTCTACCCACCAGCAGGTCTAAGGAAGAAAGATGAGCAATCCGTTACCTCCCTTGTACTTTACAGCTGCTGAAAACCTGCTGTAGGGTCAACTAGAACAGGAATTTGACAACAATGAGGTTTTATTTGCTTTAGAGCTATGCATAAATTCAGCCTCCTTTTCCTTTCTATGGATAATTTGAGAAGATTGGATAGTATTTGCAAATAACATATCAATTTGAGATGGCATTCATTATATTATGCTGCTGTTAGCATTTGCAGCTTACTAAATGGAGGTTGTACTGCCAACCCAAAGGCAGAAGGTTCAAATCCATCAACTGCTGTTCAGGAGAAAGATGGGCAGTCTCCTTTCATGTAACTTACAGCCTCTGGAATCCTGCTGGAGGATCAGGTAGGAGTCAGTTCCAACTTGCTCCTGAAATAGTTCAGTGTCCACTAATTCTTTTTTTTTTTATATTGTGAGTCTTTGTCTTCCTTCCATCTTCTTTTGGTGCTTCTGCATCATTCAGTATTTTGCCTATAGAATCCTTCAGTATTATAAATAGGCTTCAATTCTTTCAACTTGAAAAATGCCAAACATTCTCCCTTTCTGGTTTTCTAACTACAGCTCCTTGTACATTTCATTATAATACTCTTCTTTGTCTTCCAGAGCTGCTCTTTGATTCTGTTCAACTCTCCCACTTCAGCATTTCTTCCCTTTACTTTGGCCTCTTTCTTCTAGTGTGAGTTTCAGAGTCTCTTCTAACATCCACTTTGCTGTGAGAGGACACTTTCTAAAGACATCCAAGATAGACCTGTTAATATAACTCTAATCCAAATATATGCTTCAAACACTAAAGATAGAGATGAAGAAATTGAGGACTTTTACCAATTTTTGCCTTCTAAAATAGATCAATCATGCAACCAAGATGATTAATAATAATTAATGACTGGAATGCAAATTTGAAAACAAAAAAAAAGAAGACTGGTAGTTGGAAAATAGTGAAGATTGAGATTGTTCACAGCTTCAGACTTAGTGACAGAAATGAGGCTTGAGATAGAATGATAAGATTTTGTACAAGTACTTATTCATTGCAAAAAGCTGTTTAAAAATGCATAAGTGGTAACTATACACATGAATCTCTATTAATGGACTACACAGGACTTAGATTGTTAACCTCTGTGGAAAGAGACAGTGAAGAAGCTTAGTATCAGCAGTCAAAACAAGACCAGGGGTTATTATGAAATAGCTCATCAATTATTCATGTGTAATTTCAAATGGAGTATCCAAAGAAGGGTGACCCAACTGAGTGTGGAAACTACAGAACAATATCATTGATTTCACATGCAAGCAACATTCTACTGAAGATTATCCAAAAACGACTGGAACAGCACATCAGCAGAGAACTGCCAGAAGTCCAGGCTGGGCTCAGAAGGGGTCGTGGTACTAGGGATATTGTAGCTGATGTTAGATGGATCTTAGCTGAAAGCAGCAAATACCAGAAGAATGTCTATCTGTGTTTCATTGATTATGCAAAGGTGTTTGACTGTGTGGTTCATAACAAACTGTGGCTGACTCTGAGAAGAATGGGAATCCCAGAACATTTAATCGTGCTAATGCGAAATCTATACTTGGACCAAGAGGCAGTCGTCAGAACAGAGCAGGGTAACACTGCATGGCTCAAAATTGGGAAGGGCATATGCCAGGGATGTGTCCTGTCTCCATACCTTTTCAACATGTATGCAGAGCAGATTATCCGAGAGGCTGGAGTCTATGAGGAGAAGTGTGGCGTCAGGATTGGTGGAAGATCTATTAACAATCTGTGTTATGCCGATGACACAACCCTGCTTGCTGAAACTGAGGAGGACCTCATGCACTTGCTGCAGAGGGTCAAGGACTGCAACCTTCAGTATGGACTGAGGCTCATTGTCAAGAAGACAAAGATTCTCACCACTGGACCAGTCGGTAGCATCAGGATGGATGGCAAAGAGATTGAGATTGTTCACAGCTTCAGTTTGCTTGGCTCCACGGTCAACACTCTTGGCACTAGCAGCCAAGAAATCAAAAAACATATTGTGATGTGAAAGTCTGCTGTTAGGGATCTCTCTAAAGTACTCAAGAGCAACAGTGTCTCTCGGGAGACTAAGGTGAGCCTGATACAGGCCATGGTCTTTGCAATCACTTGTTATGAATCAGAGAGTTGGACAATGACTGATGCCTTTGAGCTGTGGTGCTGGAGAAGAGTATTGAATGTACCCTGGACTGCCAAGAAAACAAACAGATTCATCCTGGAGAGGGTTAAACCAGGCTACTCCTTGGAGACAAAGATTCTGAGGCTTCGTCTGACATACTTTGGACATCTTGTAAAGAGAGACAGGTCCTTAGAGAGGAAAATCATGCTTGGTAGGTTGGAGGGACAGTGCAGGAGGGGAAGACCCTCTATGAGGTGGATTGATTCGGTGACTGGGGTAATCAGGATGAGTGTGTCAGAGGCAATGCAATTGGCACAGGATAGAGCAGGGTTTAGGGCTGTTGTACATAGGGTCGCTATGAGTCGCAAACGACTTGATGACACATAACAACAAGCAGCAACAATTTCAAATGGAAGCAGAAAAAAATTAAAATATATCCACAAGAACCAACATATTATCTTGAGTCTACCCCAACTGAATTTTACAAGCTATCTCAAGAATAGATTTGATGCATTGAGCGTTAATAACTGAAGATCAGATGAGCTGTGGGATGACATAGAGGACATATCATACATGAAAGGGGCAAAAGGTCATTGCAAAGACAGCAAAGAAAAAGCAAATACTAAAATAGATGTCAGAAGAAACTCTGAAACTTATACTAGCACAAATAGAGGCCAAGTAAAGAGGGAAACAGTGTGCTGAAAATTTGCAAAAATCATCAAACTTTTTGTTGTTTTCTTTTTGCTTACTAGCCACTAGCTCAATATTGCCCTTTGATATTTTGCTATTGGCAGCAAGGAGAAAGGAAGCTGAAAATTTGACACT